GTCTGGTGGGGGAGCATAAGAGAGAAAGAAAATAAAAAAAAGAAAGAAAGAAAGAAAAAAATTGAGGAAACCTCTTAGGATAGACATAATTTAAAGAGTGAAAAATCATCATAATAATTATGTTGGCAAAGATGTGGAGAAATTGAAACCCTCATAAATTGTTTTTGGAAATGTAAAATGGTTCATCTAGTTGTGGTAAACAGGATGACAGTTCCTCAACAAGTTCAACATAGAATTACCCTGCTACCTAGCAATTCCACAGCTGGGTGTGTATCCAAACTAACTGAAACAAAATTTTGTACATGAGACACACAAAAAAGTTTTTGTACACAAATATTCGTGCAGCACTGTTCACAAAAGCCAAAAAGTGGGGAAAACTCAAAAGTCTATCATCAGATGATGGATAAACAAAATATGGTCTATCCATAGAGTGGAACATCACTCAGACACAAAAGGGGATGAAGGACTGATACATGCTGTGACATATAAACCTCAAAAATATTATGCTTAGTGAAGAAACCAAATATTGTATGACAGCATTTGTAAGAACTACCCATAATAGCTAGGTGCAGTGCCACACACCTGTAATCCCAGTGGTTTGGGGGACTGAGGCTGGAGGATTGCAAGTTCAAGACTAGTCTCAACAATTTAGCAAGGCCCTAAGCAACTTAGTAAGACGCTTTCTTAAAATAAAGTATTAAAAAGAGCTGAAGAGGGGCTGGGATTGGGGCTCAGCAGTAGCGCACTTGCCTGGCATGTATGAGGCTCTGGGTTTGATTCTCAGCACCACCAGAAATCAAAAGATGTAGTGGTGTAGTTAAGTGTTAGAGTGACTACCTATCACATATAAGGTGCTGGGTTCAGTCCCCAGCACTGGGTGGGGATGGGGAACACCATTATGGTTTCTTATTACCAAAAAACCAGACAATGACAGATATTGACAAGGATGTGGAGAAATTGGAGAATTCTTGTGCACTTTTGGAAATGTTAAATGATGCAGCCAGTATGGAACAATTTGGTAGTTCTTCAAAAGATTAAACACAGAATTACCATATGATCCACATATTCCATTTTTGGGTACATAACCAAAAGGATTGAAGCAAGGACTCAAATAGATAGTTTATCACCAATATTTCATGTCAGCATTATTCACAAGAGTTAAAAGATGGAAGAAGGGGCCGGGGTTGTGGCTCAGTGGTAGAGCACTTGCCTAGCACATGTGAGGCACCACTGGGTTCCATCCCAGGCAGCACATAAAAAATAAATAAATAAATGAACAAATAAAATAAAGGTATTGTGTCCATTCACTACTAAAAAAATAAAAATTTTAAAAAAAGGTGGGAGAAAACAAAAGTGTCCACTGATAGGTGAATGAATAAAAAAATGTGGTCCATCCACACAATGAATATTTTTCAACCTTAAAAAGGAAGGGAGGTTTAGCTTAAGGGTGTAGCTTAGTAGTAAAGCACTTGTCTAGCGGCATGTCAAAGTTCCTGGGTTCCATCCCCAGAACTGCCAAAAAAAAAATAATAATAATT